GGCAACCCCAAAATAAAAAGGAGAGGAGTCTAAGGCATGAGTGTGGCGAGAGAGTGAGAGGAAGGCTTTAAGAAGAGAATATTTTCTTCTAAGGTTTTAACAGGAGAGAGAATGTGAGAGATTTCTTCTTCAATACATTTCTAGGAGAGAATTAAATTGATTGTAAAGAGAGAAAGTGCTTAAAAGGAACTTCTAGAGATTTGTTTCGGAAGGAGTGTGAGATAAGTTGTCTTTCTTTGTTTTGTAAACTTATTTTTATATATGAAATTCGTGTTTTGTTATACCATTCTCATGATTTCTGAGTAGTCTTCTTTATCCTTCTCCCTACAATAAGATTTGATTTTATGAAGAATTAATTTTGTTTTATACTGTTTTAAATGTCAATAATTTGTGATGATTCGAACTCTTATCTTTATTTACTTTTCTATTTGGCCAATTGAAAGGTTAAAATTTGTTGAGAAACATAAAATTCGAAAGGGCTGTGTTTTCTATAATAAGGTAAGATTCTTATTCAATTTCATAGGTTATAATGTAATTCATGGGGTTGAGTGCAAATAAATAGTGAAATATACTTGCAGAATTGGAGATTTTAAGGTGACGGATTAAAATCCCTAATTTGGTCCAGTTGATTGGAAACTAATGTGAGATTATTAGCCCTAAGGCGAGGGAAAAGTGGGAGCTCTGGAGAGAGAGTCAGTATCCTCCTAACTTAACCACGGAATTAGAAACCAAACTCTTGATTAGTCAATGTTCTTTATACGCTTGACAGAGGATAAATAATATGATGACTCTTATTTGGCATCATACAATTTAATATATATAATTTTAAATGATTTTAATTACTTCACTAACCATGTACACATTGTAAAGGGAATGAATGCATTATTAAATTTGAACTCTTTGTTACAAAACTTTGTTTAGTCTTAATAAATTTAACTTTGAAGTTTAGAAATTAGTTTAGTAAACTTAGTTCTTTTAGTTATATTTTTGTTAGCATTCATTAAACCCATTTTAATTTGTCTTTCTTACTTTAATTTTTATAGTTTGAATATTGTGATTTATGTTAATATCATAAGAATTTCTATCTTCCAAACTAAGACTTGATAATAAAAAACTAGAATTAGCCCAATGAATTTCTTACTTTACTTCACTGTGGGATCGATATTGGGATTTTTAAAGAAAGTACTATATTACTTAATGTGATACGTGCACTTGTGTAGAACCCTAGTGCGTGAACTATTATATATATATATAAACATTTTGATTTTTGCACATTAAATATTTAATATAAATTGGGTCAAGATTTTGGCCATAATTTTGGAAGCTAAATTATTGCATAAGTTTGGGAGGGGTCAAGTTTTTGGCACTGTTACCGGGGATTTAAATTAACATAAAACACGCAGAAAAATAGCACACACCAGGGGTGCATCATTGACCACATGTTATAGAGTGCTCTTTTATCATTTAGTAATAATGTCAAGGTCTAGATCGGATTTGACTCCAAGGACTGCATTTTATCATCCACAAAAAGCTCGCACTTCTTTGAATATTTAAATTCAGCTCCTCACAGCATTCTAGTTCACCATTATCTGCTAGCAACAGACAGTACAAAGAATAAGAATACATGTGTCAGTTGAGTAGTTGTTGGACCTCCTGATTTCAGTAGCATGTGACTGAGAAACTTTTTGTGCTTCATCTGATTGAGCACTTATTATTTCTCCTCCCTCGCAATCATCAGTATCTTCTATATGTTGAGAACTCTTCAGAAGCAACTGATGGGCAACCAAGAGTTTTGACTATGTCCTTGCACATCTTCATTTCAATGAAAGCAACATCCCTACTCCTGATAAATTTCTGATCCTGACAATCCTAGAACTTCAACCCAAATTCCTCTAAGACATACCCAATGAAAGTGCAATTGAAAAATTTAGAGTCGGGTTTACTTACTTTACATCAACATGTACATATTAAAAGCACCCAAGTACCTCCAAATGAGATAGATATACCTCTTTATCACTGCATCTTACTTTAGATAAGCCTTCCCTCAGAAGTACTGAAGAACCACGATTGATTAGATACACTACAGTGTTCACTAGTTTTCCTAGAACTATCTTGGCAAGCTAACATGCAACCTCATACTTCTGGCATGCTCTGTGATGATTCTATTCCTCGATTTTGTTTTAGAGTTCTTGGAACAATAAACTAATGTATAACGTCCTCTGTAGCTATTAATTATTGAACCTTACATCATGATATTTGCCTCAGTAATCTAATTTGAGGTACTTCAACTGCAAGTTTGTCTCATTTTCTACAATAGCCTTCCATTTTTTTAAACACTTTAAATGCACCAATTTTTTTTTATTTTAAGAAGTCATACATTTCTGGTGTGTAGACAATAAAGGTAACAAAGTAGAGAGAACCTTCGATGAACTGAAATAGAGTAGAACTTCATACGTAGCATGTAGTAACTCTAATTTCCATAACTTCATCATAGATTTTCTTTGGAGAAAAACTTTCTTTTGCTTCTCATTACACAATCTTCACCAAAAATCCAAATCTACACAATTCAAACCTTAAAATTTGTTCTTTGAAAGTAGAGACTTCATGCATTTCTCACTCATATGGCCAAACTTGCGATGCTGCAAACCTACATCCACCTTAGTCTTAATCACCATAATGAAATTTATTTTCTTTGATCAAATAAAGAGTGTCTTCAATGTTATCCCGATCCATCACCATTGCCCCATAGTCACATTCCACGAGTTACCTCCCGACTTTGTCAACTGGCTCACAAAAATCAGAGTTCTCTTCAAAATTGGAACATGTCCAAATCCATTGAGTTTCTTGATTGTTCCATTTGACAAACTAAAATCCATATCATCCTTTTCCATGATATTGCAGACCTTATTTTCCCTGCGAATAAACATTTTCTATATCACATTGAGTGTAATTTAAAACATCTCTTTGTGGGTGCATGCATAAAAGTGGCTCATTAATCTATTATCCAAGATTCAATGCCGACTAAGGATGAAACTAGGAGTTCACTTAGATTTCCCTAGTGGGGATATTTGTAGATAGATTCATTGCTTCTCTTCCACCACCAGCCTTCCTTCAATCTTTACAATAATTTTTGAAATGATATTTTTTCCCGTAGTTCCAGCATTTTCCGTTATCATTTCTTCTGTTGACCTGAACTTGAATCTGTCTCCATCAATATTCCTGTCAAGATTTCTTCCCTTGTTTTCAATATTCAATGCAAAACCTAAAAATTCACCATTCGATGTCTTTTTGTGAACTTCATTCAGCACAACCCCACGATATCATCGAAGTTCAACTTTATATTCCCAAATAAATTACCGTCATGATTAACCATTCCGACTGTCCGTCAATGAAGGCAATTAATAGTACATTGACCTTATAATCAAAATTGATCCCCACATAATATACAATTACTAGCTATAATGTTTAAATTGTTCAAGTGTTTAGCCACAGAACTACCTTCTACCATTATTATATTGAATAACCTCTTTATCAGAAAAATATTATTTGAAGCAGAAGGTTTTTCAAGAATCTTTGTCAGTTTCATCATCAAATCTAGCATGGTTTCTCAATCACTATATTTAATGTAAGAGATGAGAAAAGTGACGAACAAATCAAACTCATGACCATTCAATCAGGTATTTTCCATTCGTCCATATTCATCAATTCAAGCAATTTGGTAATTCCTTTTAGTGACAAATATAACTTTTTATGATCAATAAATCCTCAATTTGCATTTTCCAGAATGCAAAGTTCGAATCATTGAACTTCTTCACTTTGTGCTAAGCTTCGGCTATCACTGCTCTGAGTTGAATCAAACACTTCACTCTGATACCACTTGTTGGGATGGAATATGCGTCAAGGGCTTTAATTTGTTTATAATCAAAACCACACTGAGAAAAATAGAAATAAAAATGTGAAATTTGAAACAAATTAAGTCGAATAAAAACATAGCAAAATAATTCAAGAAAAGCACATCAAGATTCACGTGAAAAAAACTCGAGAACGAGAAAAAAACTACAGAGCACCACCACAACAAAAAATTCACTATGAATGGGGGAAATGTAAAGAGAAACACACTAATATCTTCTATTTACAATTAATGAAAATTACAAAATATCCCTAAGAATCATCCTTTCAATCTCACAAAAAAGGCCCTTACTCTGAAATCATTCTATTGACAATTTACCTTTGTGAAGAAGCCTATCGAGAAACACCGCGTGCAAGATTAATTCCCTTTGTCGCTCGAATCGAGACATAAGAATCAAATTGTAGAGAAACCACACACGACATAGTTACACTGCCCCTCTACATAATTATTCTACGTGCTCAATGAGGAATCGAAGGAAACGAAGATGTCGTGGCATGTCATTGCAGCATAGTTGCATCATCCGGCATAGCTAGGCCAATTTGGGCATTGGTAGGCCGCACATTTCTACTGTTTGGTGTTGCTGCTTCCGGCTGTGGGTGCTTTTCTAGACCCCACATCTCAAGAGATAGATGTTAAATTTATTTGAATTAGTATAAACATTTTTTCAAAGTATTGTATTTTATTTTATTTTCTATTTTTTCATATAAAATGACAGGATGCATACACTATATCGAAGGTCGATCAGCACTGTTATTAGATCTGAAAATTAAAACACACTCATGGTGTGGGTAATGACCCAGTTCTGAAGGTCAATCACCACTGCCATTAGATCTAAAGATGGCCAAGTGAGTGGAGTTTATCAAAGAGACCAATAGCTAAAATTCAAGATGCATATCCTATAGCAGCACTTCAAGCTCAAGCTGCTACACTAATGAACCAACTCAGTAACTTCACTGTAAATATTAAACTCACCCTAGCATCATAAAGTAGATTTTGTGAAGGGGGACACATGAATCACATATTGAGCAGGCAAACTTAGTAAGAAATTTGTAGCAACTCAACAAAGTCTTAGTCATATAATCCATGGTGGAGAAGCCACTCAAATTTTTATTGCAAGAATATACATTTTAAATTCTATACAAGACAACCAAAATGGAAATATATTATAAACTGCTGTAATCCTCTTTTCCTATGTTACCTGCCCCCATTTACTTGAGCCAACTATATCAGTTGGTGTACAAAAACAAAATTAAAACTGCTAAACTTACATGAACTGCAGAGTAAACCGATAAAGGAGAAAGAAAAAAAAGCAATGTAGTTACTTCACCTTCCTCCAGATTTAATTCGAGTATTTCTGCTTCTAATGTTGTAGCTGCTATCCGCCCTTTTCAAAAGTAAACAGAAACCTTAAAATTTCCTCTCCACATCAAAAAAGGATCACGTAAAACAATCCAAACAAAATTTGGAGAGCACTCATGGTATTGATTACCACTCCAACCCCATAAAAAAGCAGACATAGGTGAGTTCTAACAAAGTTCTGAGAGATATCTCTCAGCTATGGCTGCATGAACTGCAGCTCCAACTGGCAACACATCTTCATCAATCATGAAGTATGGGGAATGACCTGTATGAATGGAACCCAAGGATTCGTTCCTCACACCAATGTAATAGAAGGCGGCTGGTACAATCTCTGAGTAAAAAGAGAAGTCTTCTGCACCCATCATTGGAGGGACCACCTTATAATTCTTTGAACCGAGTAGACTGATGGCTACATTCTTCACATGGTCATACATTTTATTGTCATTGACAGTGGGAGGGTAGAATCGTTCATTCTCAAAGAAGTCTACTGATGCAGTGCATTTATATACACTAGACTGCATTACAATGACCTGGAAGTTGAAGTTAAGATAAGGTTGTCAATATCTTCTAGAAAGTAAAGAATGCTTTAAAATAACTGAATTCTTACCTCCTCTATTCTTTGCCGGAGCTTATAAAAGCTGGAATTTGAGAAAGCTCTAAAAGTTCCCCCAAGGATGACAGATTCCGGGAGCAGGTCTAGATTGCTCCCTCCGTTGACTGCTGCTACTGAGACCACCTAACAGGGAAATAAAAAAAATGCTTACAAATGAGGACATTTTATTTTAAAAAAAATACTATTTTTTTAATGAACTAGGTAAGGATATTTAGTTTATTTTTAGTGTATCTACCAATCTATAGTTCAGTTTGCAGCGTCAATTTTACTATAGTCGAAATATTCATCTTTTTTAACATCTCTTACTCAACAAAAAATAATTAGAGGAATCATGATACCAGAATAATGATAATTGTTGCGTGATGATAAACTCGTGGTTGTAGAGTTGTGTTTTAATGTCCTGACACTGTACGAAGATCCAAAGCACACGTATAAAAAGAAATAAAGAAATGAGACCAGATAATTTTTTATGTAAAAAAATCCTGACAAAGAAAAAAAACCACGATGGATTTCATGGTGGCATTGACAAAGATGTACGAAAACCCCCTATCTTGAAATTTTTCTAATGAAGACGCTATTCAACATGAAGATGGTGGAAGAGAGTTCAATGGCAGAACATCTGATTAATTTTAACAATGTAACGAGTCAGTTGTGTTTTGTGAGGATCAAGTTTGATGGTGAGGTCAAAACACTACTGATAATTTTTTCATTATCGGACAGCTGGGATGGTTTGGTCACCATGGTGAGTAACACTTCTGGAAACATGAAGTTGAACTTCGATGACATTATGAGATTGGTGCTAAATAAAAAAGTTTGCAGAACGTTAGCGAATGTTAAAACTTCAGGTTTTGCATTGAATGTTAAAAACAGAGAAATGAATCTAGATAAGAATTCAGGCAGAACAAATTCAAGTCCAGAAAAGACACTTTTGGGTCAAGCACAAAAAATGACAGAGGAGAATGCTAAAACTATGGAAACAAATGGTATGCCAAAAATGGTTGTAAAGATCCAAAAAAACCTGGTTGTGTAGGACAAGAAACAAATCTCTCGATAAATACTTATACAGTTGAAATCCAGGGTGACTCCTGACCAGAAGAAAATATGTTGAGATTTTCATACTTATTTTATACTGTTTTTGATGATATTGCACTTTAAAGTAAGATATTTTTGATGTTTTGTTGCAGGAATGATGAAATAGGGTCATTAAAGCAAAAAGATGCAAAAAAGAGCAAATTTGGAGCGAAAAGAGTCAAAATGTGAAGAATTGAACTAGGGCGCCGACGGCGCCATCGACCCCGCCGACGGCGAGGTTTTCCCGAGACACCAGAATTAAA